GACAGGCTACTGGGCTAGATGGACCTTTGGGCTGACCCAGTATGGCTGTTCTTATGTTCTTAAGCAGAAGCTTAAGGGCACATATAAATTATGCAAATGAATCATCTAATTTGCATAAAATGTCACACATGGAGTGGTACAAACTTGGCAGCTATGTCTAGCTCTAAATGTTAAAATAAAAATAAAAGATTTGCTGTTGATCCCATGTTTCTTCAAGGAATGAGAAATAGTCCATGGTAACATTCTCTTTTGGCTTCTTGCTTACTGTTCATGCATGCCATTTTTAATTTAAATAAACAAATACATGTTTTGCTTGGGAATTTCTAATGTTAAGAACTGGGATAGAAATTGAGATTACACATCAATAATATAGGGTAATTATACATTACATGGAGACTGTAATGATCTCAAATCAAGTATTTTAAGACCAGGACATTCAGAGTTAAATAACCTAAAAAAACACAACAAAAATCCTAACATGTTAAGGCATGAAATAGCTAACAGGATGTTGGGAATCATTAAGAAAGGCGTTGATAATAAGACAGAAAATATCATATTGCCTGTATATAATTCCACGGCACACCCACATCTTGATTACTGCCTGCAGATGTGATTGCCCAATCTCAAAAAAGATATATTGGAATTGGAAAAGGTTCAGAAAAGAGCAACAAAAATGAGTAGGGGTATGGAACAGCTGCCATATGATTAGAGATTAATAAGATTGGGACTTTTAAGCTTGGAAAAGAGACAACTAAGGGGGGATATGATAGAGGTCTATAAAATCATGACTGGTGTGGAGAAAGTAAATAAGGAAGTTTTATTTACTCCTTCTCATAATACAAGAACTCGGGGTCACCAAATGAAATTAATAAGCAGCAGGTTTAAAACAAACAAAAGGAAGTATTTCTTCACACAACACATAGTCAACCTGTGGAACTCCTTGCCAGAGGATGTTGTGAAGACCAAGACTATAACAAGGTTAAAAAAAGAATGAGACAAGTTCCTGGAGGATAGGTCCATCAATGGCTATTGGCAAGGATGGTGTCCCTAGCCTCTGTTTTCCAGAAGCTGGGAATGGGCAACAGGGGATGAATCACTTGGTGATTTCCTGTTCTGTTCATTCCCTCTGGGGTACCTGGCATTGGCCACTGTCAGAAGACAGGATACTGGGCTACATGGACCTTTGGGCTGACCCAGTGTGGCCGTTCTTATGTCCCCAAACCACCTTAACTCATCCCTGTGATGATGCCATGAGGGGAAGGAGGAGCAAAATCAAATGTGTCTTTCAAAATCAATTGAATCTGATCTGGGACAACAAACCTAAAAATGCTTTAAGTGTGATCTAGTGGGTAGAGCACTAGCCTGTCACGCTCCAGATAGAGCTTTGCTGCTGGGTGATTGTGGCCAAGTCACGTCATGGTTCCGTGCCTCGGTTTCCCCACCTGTGCAGTGGGTATAATGATATTGCCCTCCTTTGTAAAGCCCTTTGTGCTCTACTGATGAAAAGAGGTATGGTTATTGTGCGGTCTCACTGCAGGGTGGAGTTAAAGCCATCTGGGTGTCCTAATTGTGTGTTTCAGAGCTGAAAGCATTTATAATTCTTCTGAGTGTCACACTAATTCTGAATTTCCTGGGCTTGTAACACTCAGCTATGGGAGAATTACAGCATCCCTGTGACTTATCTGACCCTAAATTACTGTTCTGACCTCTCAAACTTAGCTCCAGGGTTTTGTATGGGAATAGAAAGGGAGTGTGCACAGTTACCTGGAGAAATCTGGCAGTGCGCCAGTGTGGGAGCGGGAACGGTCTCCCCAAGGTAGGGGTGGGAGCCCCATCACTCAGAATCTTTGAAACAAGGACTGGCCAAAGCACTAGGAAATGCACCACAGGGAACAGCCCTGCCTTGGCTCAGGGAGACGGATGGGATGGGGATTTTCTTCCCTACCCCTTATTTATCGCATGGGAGTGAGTGAGCAGGGGATGGTCTCTATTAAGAACATAAGAACGGCCATACTGGGTCAGATCAAAGGTACACCTAGCTCAGTATCCCAACAGTGGCCAATGCCAGGTGCCCCAGAGGGAATGAACAGAACAGGACAATCATAGGTGATCCAAACTGTGTCGCCCATTCCCAGCTTCTGGCAAACATGGGCTCTGGAAATGTCTGATCCCTCTGATATCTACTGCACCAGTAGAGCACCCAGGGCCCTTCAGAGACCCCCACCAGTTCTCCTAACCAAGTGGCAAGGAATCCTTACCCGTTGTGAGCACTGTCCTGCAATGCTTTGGCATGGCATCCCTGAAGAGGGTTCTCTGAGCAGGGTCCAGCACAGCCCACTGCTCCTCCGTGGCACAGACAGTCACCTCCTCGAAAGCGTCTGGCACCTGAAACAGCATCCTCCACTCAGGACCAGCGCGGGCAGCAGTACGCCCCAGCTCAGTCATGAGAACAGCCTCACCCCCAGGCACAGGGTGCAGGAATTCTCTCTCACACACAAACCCACCAGCAGCTCTCTGAAAATCCCCACCTGAGCTGGCTCCATCACAGCCATTTCCCTGGCCTGTCCCCTGGGAGGATGGGACGATCTGGAGTGAAACGTGGTCCTTATTCTGCTGCCTGTCAGGGCAAGAAAGGTGATGGAGGTTTCAGAAGACTTTGGTCTATTTCACACCCCGATTTCCCTCGCGCAGAGAGACTAGTTCTAAACGCAGTGATGCTGGGAAAACCCCGGGGCACTCTATTTCAGTGCAGATCCGGCCCCTCCCACCGGGACCAAACCCACCCAGACATTGGTACCCCCCTTCCCAGTCACAGAGCCTCTTAGCCAAGCGCAGAACGAAAGGAGCCGCTCTGGGGGACCCTCCTTCCCCAGGGCAGCGCATCCCCCCAGCAGCGCGGGGACCAGGCAGAGGCAGGAACTGGCTTTTCCTCTCCCTGCTCCTCACTTTGTCCCAGGAAAGTCAACCTGCGCCGGGGGGCTGCAGGGAAGGGGGCTGGGCAGGGCTGGAAGTCGGGACCTCCCTCCTCACTGATTGCTCCTGCTGCCCCTGCCAGTCTCTGCCCCTGTCTCCCTCCTGCCCCCTCGGGCTGGGAGACTCGGTCTCTGGCCCGGCACGGGGCGTTCGCTCTCCCGGAGCTGGCTCGGCTCCTGCAGGCGCTCAGGGGAGCAGAGCCTGGGGGGATCAGGGAGGGCAGCATCTCTGGGACTCGCAGACCCCCGCCCCCCCGGGAGCAGAGCTGGGGCGGGGAGGGGTCGTTGGTG